TCCCCACATGTCTGAAAAAGGACTTTTTATTGTCCTGGATGCTCGAAGCTAGTTGGAGTTCAGTTGCGGCCTTGGCTTTCCTGGTTTGCTCCCTGCAGGACCGGACCAATGCAGAATATTCCTCCTTGGAGGTGAATCTCATCCTCTAACCTTTGTAGGCCTTTCTTTTTAGCCTCAGGAGGTCTGCTGGAGAGCCAGGGGGCTGCTGTGCCCTCTTGCTGCCTTTCCTCTGAGATGGAATAGACTTAGCTTGTGCATTGAGGAGCGCTCCCTTGAGGAGCAACCACTCTTCCTGAACTCCCCCCTCTGGGGTCATGGTCCCTTAGGGCCTCACTGACAAGCCTCCTGAGCTTGTCAATGTCAGCTTTCCTGAAGTCAAGGACTTCAGTGTTGCTGACTGACTTGCCAGCTTTATGGCGGATGGTGAAGGTGATCAGCTCTTGGTCGCTGTCACCCAGCTTCCCATTGATCACTATGGTAATTAAGGTGAACCAAATTCTTTATGGTGAGCCAACTAGACTGGGCTCTTTCTGTCTCTGAGGCCCCTGCCACACCTGGCCACATGTTAAAGCAAATAATGGCATCATAAAACAAGGAATAAGCCACAGTTATTCTACAAAAATGTGCAAGCACTTTGTGGTTGATTCCTATCATGCCATTAATTGAACTTGTGTCCAGGTATGCCCCTTTGGCTGGGAGCCCAGATCAACTGATGGGGCTCCCAGCTGTGGGAATTCATGATCCTGGGCTCCCCCTCCAGTGGCAATAAGATGTGATGGGATCTGATGCTAATTCCTAGATTTAAGCCTCCTGCCATACACATGTGACATCACTGTGTGGATTGCACATCAGATCCCATTGTGCCTTTACTTTCATATCTGTCAGGGGCCTTATTATATGGCATTTTGGGGGCTCTTTTTAAAATTCTTTCCCATTTTTCTGGATGCTAGAAACTTATTTAGCATTTTGCTGTCTGATTCACCAAACTATAGAGGCAATATCAATTCCTCGTCCTGTTTAAATAACCATGGTCATGTTTGCCCCAGCATTGCAATGGGAACTCTTGTTGAGCTGTATATTATGATATTCCTTGTTTCTAAATAACTAACTATGTGTTTGGTTATATTAAATCAGAGCATTGAAATGGGTCTAAGGCTAACACCTTTAGTAACCCAGAGCAATCTGTAATCTGTAGGAGTGCTGTTGTGCTCATCATTATTTACTGCTCTGCTGATCTCTGCTTTTTCTCCACATTTTATCAGCTATGATTTTATATTTACTTACATGTCATTGATGAAATGTTAAACAGCATCAAGTCTAATGTCATCAGTCTCTTCAGAACCTGCCTGCAAACATCCCTATTCAACGGTTTTCTCCCACTAAAGGCTACTTTTCATTTCTCATTTAGTTCTTAATACATTTAAAGTATCCTTTCTTGATATTGTGAAGTTCAACTTATTGTGAAGGACAGGGACTACCTGATTAGCTTAGCTTGGGAAATAACTAGAGCAGAGGGAGATGCAATTAAGAATGTTTTCTGACAAAATTCAATAAGCCTGATAGGGGAGGAAGGAGTTTTATAGGTCTAAGGTGGTAGAAACTTTCTTTTCTTAGTTTCTTTACTTTTCATTCCATCCAGGAAGAGCACACACCAACTGCAGAAACTTCCTCAGCCTGACAAAGGTTTTTTAAACCCAAAAGGTTGCTTAAATATTTTTATTCCAATATTTAAGCTGGTCAATTCAGAGATATCAGATTGACCCAAAGAACTTTGTCTGCCTTTTTTCTCTTAGGACATTTAAAATAAACTTGGGGAAAAAAGAAAGATTATTCTCTAAGAGGGATAAATTACATGAATCAAGAGGCCCTATAATTTCTGTGGACTCAATTTTGCCCCACTACTTGCAGCAGGGAGCAATTACTCAGATGAGTAGCCTCCCAACCCTTTTGTGAGTAAATGCAGCTTGGTGTGAGTAAAGAAGTCATGCTCCATCATCCAGTAAATGATATATATTAAGATCATTAGCTATTTTCATTATTTATTGATGTGTTGTTATATTGAAAAGCTTGACATTTGGTGTCCAAAATCCATTTTGGGTCAACCGGAGCACTTTCTATATTTATCAGCAGCGCTCTTACAGGGCTGACCTAAAATGGAATCAGAAGGCAGGGTAGATAGATATATAGAGTGCAAACTTCTGCCAACCCAAGTTCACTTCATCAGATGCTGTGAAAGGGTGCGCAGAAAACAGAGTATAAGAAGGAGAGAGAAAATAGAATATGAAAGACAAAGAGAGGAGGGGGGTGGCTGGGAGGGAGGAGAGAGTGCGGAGGGCAGCAGAGCTAGGAGAGAAAAGCAAATGAGCAGTAAATCCATGGAGTACCATAGGTGTCACAAAAGAGAAAATATGGATCAGTATTTTTTCAAAGTTATGTATCTTTCAAAAATCAGGAACACAGCTGCTTAGGTGACCAGAAAAGCTTAGTTTGCATTGTTAGTACAGGACCTCATCATCAGCAAAAAGACTGTCTGGGATACCATTCAAGAATATGGAAACCCAGAAATATTCTGTGGCTTCAAGCCCACAGACATTTATCTTTACTCATGCAAGTAGTTTCAATACTGTAATTTGTAAAGTGCTTGAGGAAAGTGTTTGCAAGAATGGAGCCAAGATTATTTTGGTTCCATTTTGGTGTGTCACAGAGGATAAAAACTGAACTTAATGACAGATGTGTATCTCCTTGGCTGAATTTCTCTGGGGAGAGGTTTAAACTCAAGCAAAGGTTTATAACCAAATTGAAGATCCTTAGGTTTGGTGCAATATAATGGCTCTGAGATGCCCCCAGAAAAGGGCTGCAGACTGTCTAAGGGGTCTGCAAAAGATGACTATGATCAGTCAAAATTATGTGAATATCCATACTTGGGATTCAAAGGGCTCCTCACATCCATTCAAAACTTTTTAGGGGTCCACAAATGAAAAAAGGTTGACAGCCACTGGGCTAGAATGAAGAGCCACCTGTCTCTTCAGGGATCTTACTTTCCATCAGCTCTGTTTTATTTCAGAGGCCATATCTGCTAATCCTATTCTACTGCCCCCATTCTTCACCCTCCCCAGAATAAACATCTCTTAAAAGTCGAAAGTGTTTTTCTTTTCTTTCTTTCTTTCTTTCTTTCTTTCTTTCTTTCTTTCTTTCTTTCTTTCTTTGTGTGTATGTGTGTGTGCATGCATGTGCATGTGTGGCTGTGTATGCATATATGTGTATGTGTCTATGCAAGTATATAAATGTGTATGCATATGTGTGTGTGTATGTACATATATCTATATTCTATAGATATATATAAAGGGCTTAGTCTCTCCTGTCTGTGTGTTTGTCTGTCTGTCCATAATGCTCTTGGAGTGTGGGGCTCTGGGTGGGGCGAAGTGGGACAGGTCTCCAGCCAATGCTGCCTATGGGGAGAATTGCCCATCAAAAATGATGGCAGGGATGGAGGGGTGGTGGCCCAGCGCGGGATGCAGAGCCAGCTGGGGAGGAGAACGATAGTGATGACAGAGGGGAAGGGGGGCAGGTGTGCAAGGCCAGCACTGCTGGCCTTATTACCTCCCCCCTCCTTGCTCCTTGGAGGCAGCAGTGGTGCATCTCCTCTGTCCCCACCCTCATTCTTGATGGGCAATTCTCTAGTATTTATATAGATCTAGATATATAGATAGATATCTCTAGATAGCTCTACCTATAGAGAGATATCTAGGTATCTATATAGATGTATTTACAGATGTTAGATAAATTATGTATGTATATGCAAGTGTGTGTTATAATGCAGGCCCTGTTGTGCCTGCCCATTATTATGGCTACACCCGCACAGCAGGGTAGAGGAGGGCGAAGCCTCCGCGACCTGCCCCCCTCCCCCCCCGTGTCTCCGCAGCCCCCGGCAGCGCGGGGCGGGAGCGGTGCCGTAAGCAGCGCGCACGCTTGGTGCGGCGCCTCCTTCCCGCCCGCAGTGGTACGTCCTGCCTCTCCCCTCGGTGCTGCGGAGTAGTGCAGCCCGCCCTGCAGACTCTCCTCCCTGCATGGCTCGGGCTTAGTCCGAGCCGGCGAAGGTGCGAGCGGAGGGCGGAGAGCGGAGAGCCGGCGGCGGCAGGTGCGGGATGGCGGCGGGCCGGGCGGCCGCGCTGCTGGCGCT